AGCTGGCGCTGGTGGCTGGTGAGGCAGCAGATTTTCTGCCCTCCCCACTGGGAGGGGCCGGGCCGGCATGGATGCTTTGCTGGGCCTCCGGGACCCGCCCGTTTGGTCCCTTCAGGCGGGGCCTGGGTGGGGCGGGTGCTCACTGGGCACTGCCACGCTGGCCCCTGCCCCACCCGCACCCTGGGGAGGATGGGCAGAGGGGCACCTCGTGAGGAGTCACACAGCCAGCGCCCATCCCCCAATCTCTGAGCTCCTACCTCTCCCTTCTGGGTGAGAAATGGGAGTCCAAATGAGGGGTGCTGGCTGCCCTCACCCTTGTAAGATGCCCAGAGGAGGCTAATAGGGATGGGCTGGCCTAGAGCTGCTGGCAGAGGAAGAGGAGGGTTCAGGGAGCACCACGTGGGGCTGCCTCACCTCATGTGTGCACATACTCCTCACCAGTTGTAAGTAAACAATGAACCCTTCATTCACCCAGCGGCTGTCACCTGGCCCAGCACTGCCAGGGGCTGGCAGGTACACAGGGCTGGGGCATCACTGCCCCCAGGGTGCACAGCCCATCACTGAGTGAAGTAGTGGGGAAGCTGGGAGCACAGAGGACGGACACCTGGAGGATGAGATGGAGAGGAAGCTTGATGGAGCCCATTGCAGAAGTTTGCTGCCAGAATGCCAAGGGGCTTCAGACAGGGAAATAGCATGGGCAGGGTCTGGAGTCAGAGAAGAGGACAGGAGGCCTGGTAGCTGTTGGGCTAGAGGAGCAGTGAAGGATTTAGGTGTGGGCTTTAAGGCAGGGGAGTTCTGTTGAGGGAAGGGATTGTCCTGTCTTTCCTACTTTCCCAGGTGGGGCCCCTCATACGCCTTCCTCCATGAGCTGTGAGCTAGGATGCATTTTGTCTGCAGTGCCTGGCCTACAAGTGATGGTGGGGTCCAGGCTCTGTGACAGGTGAAGGGGGGTAGAGATGGAGAGGAGTTTCAGAGACACAAGAGCCTGGCAGAGAGGACCTGGAGGGAACCTAAGGCACACAGTGCACATCTGCAAACCCCCAGGTCCACCCAGCAGGCTGGGAAGGTGGTGCTTAGAATTCCATACCCAGAGCCTGAGATTGCAAGTTGGGGATTCACCCTTGGGCACCAATCCTTTTCCAGTATCTCCTGTCCACTTTGGAGGCTAAGAGTTTGGATGCTGGACCCTGACAGCCTGGGTTCAAATCCCAGCTTTGGTACCTACTCGCTTTGTTACCTCAGACAAGTCACTATACATCTCTCTGCCTTTTCCCATCTATCAAAATTAGGATACTTATGGTTTCTACCTGTTAGGGTTATTGAGAGAATTGAATGGATGTATGTGAAATATGTTCACTTCATGGAGCAAATATCCAATGTTTGTTATTGTGGCTGTGCTGGGTGGCCCTACATTCTACAGACACACACACACACACACACACAGAGCTCATTCTCTCCCCATCTGTTTGTCCACTGTTAGGCAGTCTCGCCTGTTATCCCCGCCCAGGCCCCGTTCCCTGCCTCACTGCAGCCTCCCCACTCAGCTGCCCCCTCCACTCTGGTGCACCTCCCTTGGCAATGGGAAGGCCACCATCCCTACAGCCCTTGCCATTCCTGTTCCCTCCACTCTGCACCACAAAGTAGGAGACAGTTCCCTTCCCTCCCTGGCCCTGCCACCCTAATGATTGACCTTGCCCTTTTGATGCCATCTACCCTACCTCTGCTTCTATGCCCAGAGGAGGGGAACTACATTCTTGACCCTCCTGGTTCACTGCCATTTTGCTGTTTTAACAACAGAAACTTATTCCTCACAGTTCTGGAGGCCAGAAGTCTGAGATCAGGCTGCCAGTATGGTTGGGTGAAGGCCCTCTTCCAGGTTGCAGCCATCTCCTTGTATCTTCTTATGGTGGAAGGGGCTAAGGGAACTCTGGGGGAGTCTCTTTTATAAGGGCACAATCTCATTCATGGGGGCTCCATCCTCATGACCTGATCACCTCCCAAAGGCCCCACCTTCTAACACTATCACATTGGGCATTAGGCTTCAACATATGACTTTGGAGGGACACAAACATTTAGACCAGGAGTTCTTGGGGAGAACATCAGTCTTTGTGTAGGTTTAAAAACCAAAACAAAACATATTGAAGGTTCACTGTATGCCAAAAACTGTTTTGAGCTCTTTAAATGCATGTATTAGTTTGTGGCTATCTTAATAACTCCCTGTGTTTTAGAGATGGAGAAATCAAGGCATAGAGAGATTTCCCTGTTTGCCCTCCATGCATTTGTTAAGCATCTACTGTGTACCTAGGAGACATGCTCCCCTCCTACATGCCATTTGAGCCACCTCCCATGTTCATTTCCCTAAAGCACAATGTTGGCCATGCTATCCTCAGACATCTCTACCCCATTTGCTCAAGTACAAAGTACAAATGCTCTCTTGCCTTCCCAGCACGCGCTCTAGTGCTGGCCCTACCCAGACCTGCCTCACCTTGTAAACTGAGTAGTGGGCATGGCTTGATGAGTAGGCCTGCCCTTGAGCTGGAAGGAAGGGAGGCTCTGACCATGTCTCTCGGATAATTTTGTTGCCAGGGACGGAAACCTCTTCCACTTAGGTTAAGTGAAGGGAGAGTTAAGAGGCGGGAAAGGGAACTTGTGTAGCAAACAATTGCAGGCAGCGTGGCTCCCCCAGGACATGGGAAACTGGCAGGCGGCCCCTCCTCTGGCTTTCCTCTCTGAACGGTGGTTTCATTTTTGCCACCTCTTCTGGTGCATCTGCCCCATCTCCCACTGTAGGCTGGCTCTCTCTGGGTTGTTGGCGTGGCTGACCTGAATGGTGGCTTCAGCTTGAGGCCACAGGACCTCCCAGGAGCAGTCCCTTTGGTCTTGGGGTGCCAGAGAAACCAATTGGCCTGGCCTGGGTGAGGGTGCCCACCCTGTCCATTCAGCTGGTGGAGGGCAGGTCACATGGTCTCTGGGGTTGGGGGTGGGAGACAGCGCTGGGCAAAGCTGCTCTGCTACAGTGTCGGCTGCATTTATGACACATGGTGTGTTCTGGGTGAGGACGGGCACGTGGGGGCATCTTGTTCCTTGTGAGCTCTCAGTATGATGGGAGAGGCAGACCCATGGCCATTTACTGAGATGCCACAGGATATGAAGTGTGGGTCTCCACCACTTGGCACCGTGATTCCTTGGGAGAAGCTGGAGTTCGCTGATCTCCAGGGGCAGGACAGGATGGCGGGGGCTGTGCCTCATGGTTCTCCCCAGCCTTGGCTTGGGACCTGAGGAGGCTCTCTCTTTAGCACCTGGAGACTGGGGTTCCTCTTTCCAGCATGGGACCTACCCTGTCCCACCGTTCCCTTCTCTGGGCTGTGCTGCCAGGGACAGTACACAGAAACAGTAATACAAAGCTCAAGTTTTCAGAAGAAATGCTTCAAAATGATAGTGAAATGGTTCCCTTCTGGATAGAAGGCAGAGCATGGCAGGTGGTTTTTATTAACAAGGCATAAGTGTGGGGCCTTGTCTACTTACTGGCTTCCGTCTTCACTGAGCAGCCCTTGCTCCATCCTTGGAATCTTACCTTTGACTCCAGCTGCAAGACTCCCACTCCTGTCCCACTTCTCTCTTTGCCCTTTTGGCTTCTTTGCTGTGAGAGGGTGGAATTTCAGGCTCACGAGGAGTGCCTGGTTTTCCAACCTCCCTTCCCTAAGGTGGCGGTGCCGAGAGTGGCCAGGGCTGATCTGCTCCTGCTTGGACCCAGCCTGGCCCCAGCCCCCTCCCCCAACATGTACATTAAGCGTGGGAGTGGGTGATGGCTGTGCAGAAACCAGCCTCTCGGTGTGTGGGGAGCACAGAGCACTTTTGGACCCTGCCTTTGAGAAGCTTTTACTGAATTAGGAAGACGTCAGCACCCTTCCTGAAAATGTAAACAAGATCAGCACCTTTGAGAAACATTTTAAGGCCAGAGTAGAAGAGCTGCCTCAGTGCCCAGTGGGGTCATTGCCCTGGCAATGGTTTCAAGTCATTCTGTGTTACTCAGGTAGGTAAGGCGCTAGATGGAGGAGATGGTCTAGGGGCTCCCTGGAGG